TCGCTTTTTAGGGTTTGGGTCTAGAGTTCCCCCCAAACCTTCATGCAGCCATGGGTGGAGCTTTTTCAGAGGTGACTGAATGTAGAGTGTGCAGTGAGGGTGTGTGGCTACTAAATCAGCACACTGGCTGGTTTGGCACCACTCTAATCCAGTGGCCTAGATACAACATAAGGCAGAAAGAAGCTTGTCTTGTGCTTTGCTTGCTTGCTTCTGCTGTCTTCTCCTTGCCATGAACTGTTTTTCCTCTGGGATGGCCCTCTGCCAAGCCACCCTGCCTTGGAGCCAGTCAGTAATGGACTGAAAACTGTGAGCCAAATAATCCTTTACTCCTTTAATTTGTAGGTGCTATTTTTTGTCTCAGCAACTAGAAAGTAACTAAGACATCCTATATCTTGTAGATTGTTTTCAAATTTTTAAAAATAATGCCTTCTTCTTTGTCAAATGAAGTAGTAAGTGGAATTTAAAACCTAGGAATCAGATGAAAGTAGAATTTCTCTCTGAATTAAGTAGAAGACAAAGCCCTGAGAGCTGCCCTCTCCCTAGTCCCTGGTGGTGGCTCTAATGATTGCGCTGGGGGACTTGTGTGCACACAGAAACACCAGAGCGTCTGTTGGCTACACTGCGCTGTCCAAAGCTGGAGCAGAAAGAATCTGATCTAATTGTTGGAATTTTGTTCTGTCCTTTTCCCTTCCTTTGCTTTTCCTTATTAGTGCAGGAGGACTGTATAAAGATTTTTTAAAAATGACATGAATTATCTAGCACACTATCCTGTCAGAAGCCCTAAGCAATTACAGTCTTGGTTACACATAATGGCTTTCTTCAGTGCATACTGACATTGGATCTTCACGGCTCTCCGCAGGCTTCTTCTGCACACACAGGGTGTGGGAGGGTGATTCAGGTATCGTGGAGGGCAGTTTAGTGTGGAGCCGCTCTTGGTGCAGCAGTGACATGATCCATGAAACTGAACCCCTTCAGCAGAAGTAGAATCTCGGGGCCCAGTGCTTCTAGAACAACGGAAGCCTCTGTGAGGAGGGTACAAGGCAGGGTGCCAGGTGCCATACGGACTACAGCAACCAAGAGAAGGAGAGGTAGGCAGGGCAGAGTCTGGGGGTGGTGAGAGGAGCTGAGAGGTCGGGAGACAGGAGGCTGAAGAAGCAGGGAAGGGCAACAGTTTGCTAACTCACAGCCTTCCAGTGTGAGGGACTGGCTGACCTAGGCCCTCCCTCCCAGGAACAGGGGAGAGAACTATACAATCTAAACAGTCAGAGGAGGAGCGGGGACTTGAGCATCATGGTTAATATTATTATCATCATCATTATTACTTGCAACCCCCTGAGAAGTGTGAAATTTCTCATGTGGGCCACTCTGAGATTCATACAAGTCTTCCCTTGGTCCCTTCTGTCAGGGCAAAGGACACAGGACAAAGGACGGGGTCATGGGATGACCCTGAGTAGTTTAATCCACGTTGGTATCTCTTAAAGTGTCTCTAGTCTGAATGGGTCAGGCGTAAGGTTTTGTTTCTACCACTGATTCTTTATACCAGTTTGTGGTTGTATTTGGCCTCTTACCTTTATACACTTCTATAAATCAGATTTTGTGTGGGGTCATCAAGAGAAAGATTTCTGATTTTGTTTTTTCCTTCTTCTCTGGCCAACCTGGGCTTCTCACCAGCAGAGGTGTCTCCAGGGAACGCAGCCCTGCTCTTGCCTGCTCTGCATGTGGTGTGGGTCCCTGATGGCAGGCCATCAGCCTGCAGCTGCCTCAAGGAAGAGGTCCCCTTACAGACGTGGAAACAGAGTCTCACACTCAAGCCAGCGTGGCCCTGACTCAGCAAAGTCAGTGAATCAGATGGATTCTCCCAGCAAATTACTTCTTAGTAATAAGTGACTCACACTGAGAAGCTCTAAGGACTGGGTTTAGTTTATTAAAACAGTGCATCAGCACCCCTTTAATCCTGCTCTTCCTTTCTATATTGCAATGATCAGAAGTTCATTCATGTTGCTGAACAATTACATACTAGTGAAGTTAATGAGCTCATTAACTCTTCTTGGAAAGGCTTAGAATGATGTTTGTTGATTTTCTTGACAACATATTATGCACACAGGATTTGAGACAAAATAGGGGAACACTGAATTTTATTCCACAATTTTTTTAAATTTAAATAAACTTAGTCACAAATGGTGACGTCAGGGATCTGCCATGTTGCCCTCAAGGTCTGACAGCCAGAGGCAGAGTACGTGTGTGATATTGTGTGCAAGTGCAGTGTGGCCGTGTGGCGAATGTGGTATATGAGGTGTGTATGTCTGTGTAGTCTGTGTGTATGATTTGTATATGTGTGTGGGGTGTGTGCAATGTGTGGATGCAGATATGGTGAAATTTGTGGAGTGTGTCTGTATTTTAGGTACTGTTTATATGTGGCATGTCTGTGTATGGACAGAGTGTGTGGGTGTGTTCTGTGGAGTACGTGGGTGTGAGTGTGGGTGTATACTGACAAAAGGGCCTCATTCTGTGGAATCACAAAGGCAGGGAGTATAACTTTCCTGTAACAGATTTTTTTCCCTTGGAGCAAAAGATTAATGAGGTAGATATCAAAAAAGTGTTAAGATATGCAACAAAGAGACTAGACAAAAGAAATTATTTCTAAAATTAATGCAAAGTTGAGATCATAGCAAATATTTTCTTTTGAGCTGTAGAATTAGGGCCTAAGTAAGTTTGAGCCAGGAAGAGAAGGACCATAGTGAGACTGGATACATCAGCAATTTGACTGATTTGGTATCCCTCTAGGGTTTATGTCACTGAGATTTAAACCATGGGGAAAAGTGGCAGAAACCAAAAATAGGCAAAGGGATCCTCAAATTGGGAAGAATATGGGTTAGAACCTGTCCTCCCCTCCAAATACTCATTCATTCTACCAGACCGCACAAAGATATCATGTGCTGCCTGGACATTTTTGAAAATAAGTAGCTATTTAATAGCAATTGAGCTCAGTAACTGAATTGAAAGAGCATGTCTTTAAGTGGATTTCTTTAGCAACTAAGCTACATTGAAAGTGCTGATACCTGAAGACAACCACTGAAGCCTGTACCTGCATGAGTTAATAAGGTACTTTAATACTAAGTGTATACTTAAATTTTCCTATACAGTAATTTAATTCATTATTTCTCTTAACCAGGAAATAACTTACAAATTCCCTGTAACATTTCATGTTACTCCTGAGCAAATTATTTTCTCCTAAGGAATATACTCCTGTAATGCAACATAATGCAAACTGCAAAGGACCATAAAGCCAGGCAGAACTTTCCGAGGTAATGTAAAAAGCACCCAGAAAACTAAGTGGTCTTGATGCAGGCAGTTTTAAATCTTGGCATTGCCACTGACTTACTGTGAAATGCTCAGGAAATTATGGAATTTCTATGTGCCCTGCAGTAATCATCTATCACACGGAATGTTACACCTCTCCTGCTAGTGAGATAACTAAAGTGTGCACATGAAAGGAAATCACTGGGAAGCAAGTCTGTGTTCATTAGTGATAGCAACTTAGTCCAAAATATTATTTTTGTTTTTAAGGATAACACTGCCCATTATGGGGGGGGGAAGCTAGAAAAGGGCAGTATCATGGGAGACCAGACAGGATGGTTAAGACCCAATGGGCCTCTTCTGTGAGCACTGCACGGGGGAGCAAGGCAGTGTGATTGCCTGCTGACACACTGCAGGCTAGTTAGCACAGCTGAGGACCTGCTGTTTACCTGGACACATCCCATGGCTGATGGGAGGCAGCTGACTCCTGTTTTACTTAATTGCTTGTACAGTGTCTGAGTGAATACAGGTAGGGTGCAACAGTCACTTGTAGCTCTTTGTCTAAGGGAGACAGCAGCCCCCGTGGACCGCATATTTAACCTCTTCTGTGTCTCTTTGTTTCTCTTCCTGGCTGTCCTCTGGTCAGTCATAAAACTTGTAGGCTGGCTCCTATACAGTAGAGGCTGACTCTTCCTCCAGACTTACTAACTCAAGGAAGAACTTCTTCCAAACTCACATCTTAACGAGAACCAAGTGAATACATGTTTTTCTTCAAGAGAACCTTTGAATCAAACATGAAATTCTTTGTGATCACCAGCACCCTAAAACAAACATAATTTTACATTTCCTTCCTATGTAACACAGGTCATGGGACATCCTCTCCTTTCTATGGCATCCAGCTATTCTTTACACAACTTGCTGTGGCTGTTAATATGAGGTTAGGCGGAGAAGTGTGTTATGGGGATGGGACCTCGGATTACCTGACTATCAGGCTAACACTGTCAGAATCTGTCTTCTGAGAAAGACAGCTGCCTTCTGAAAGTTTCCCACACTTGCAGTCCTCCTCTGGGAGTTCAGGTGAAATAAGGACTCACTGAACTGAAATTTTCTTCCACTACATTAGCACCTACACAATATTACTGGATCATAGCATCTTGTTAATTAATTGGCATCTTGCTAATTAATAATAGGATGACTGCAGAGAGGGTATGTAAATCATATTTACTGCTGCTGTAACTGGCCTATCAAGGGAGTATTTCCATGTGTGTATACTCAGTTTCACGCCAGTGGGCACAAGACAGTTGGCAAACAGTTCACTATCAGAAGCTGGCATAATAACATTTCCACTAATTTGAGGAAATAGAAACTTTAAAATATGCCAGTGTCTTCACACAGCTAGCTTGTTAGTGGTCCTGTTTTTATGATTCACTCATACTGAAGTAATGCGTGAAAATGATTTGTCTTTTTGATAAGTAATAGCGAAAACAAAGAATTAGGAAATTAGTGTAAGAGAGCAATAATTCTTTCACAAGAATTATGTTCCAGGTGGACAATGACTAGAGCTAAAAATATTGAATTTCCTGTGGTCTTTCACCTTCCCTTTATGTAAAGTTTCAAGTACATCTAGAAATTTAAACAAAAATAGTTGGAGCAGGAATTAAGTAGCATAAGTTTTGGAAATTCAAATTGAATGGAGTCCTTCATGTTTCTGGATAGTTTTATTTTATTGCATATGCAGTGGATGCTCCTGGTTTTATCTAAGCATTTCCAAAAATAGAGATATTTTGTGATCTCAAACTTCTATTACATACTTATCCAGAGAGGAGCTCAAATTGGTGCTAGAAGAAAACTTGCTAAATGGATGGATGATACATTTAAATTTGCTGCATCTTTAGATACTGTCATGTCACTCTATCAGAATAACACTTTTCACTAATAATTGTTCAAATCCAAAGGAAGGAAAAGCACAAATTTAACCAGGAGTCAATCTCTTCTTTAGAGAGAGAGAGAGACAGACAGAGACAGAGAGAGAGAAACAGAGAGAGAAAGAGAGAGAGACACACACATAGAGAATGTACCACACACTTCAGGAAAAGAAAAATAGTACAATGTATTTATCAGCAGATGGTGCTACCGTTGTGTGGGGAACCTTAGAGGACACTTCCAGCCCATAGAAAAAAAATTGAAAATGCACGTTCAGCAGTGTCAGTGGCCAAGGTTATCCAGGCAACAGTTTACTGTACTAATAAATGTCTGCAATGTCTAATGGCCATAACTTTGACATCTCTTGTAATTGTAGAGGCTAAAGATAAGTTGTAGTATCTCAGGATGTCTCAATAATTTTAGTATTAAGGTATTTTCAGAAGTTTTTCTTTTCCTGACATGTGTATACATTTTTCAGTGGACTTCATACCTCTATCTATGTTTGTGTGTATACATACACACATATATATATATATCTCTGCACTATTTCTCTAACTACATAAAGACACAGCACAGAGATCCCCTTTCCATTAGGACTTTATCTTTCATAGCCTGTTTCATCTGAAAATGAAATTGATCTACAGTTTTTCATCATTTTAAACAAACCTGTCTAAAACATAGTTTCAAGTTTACTATTTTATTAAGATTGAATCACTCATTTAATTTCAATATATATATTTCTTCAATCCTATTGTAGCTTCATTCAGCCAACAAAGATGAACATAGTTTCTAGTCAAACTGGCAGAAGAGCTGAGCTCCTAGGGAAAAAGGAAACAAAGTTCAACATATAGAACTGCAGGCAGTTTTCTTTCAGAAGTGTATACAACAGGCCACACCCCTACACCAAAAACTGGGTTGCTTAAATCATGGAACCATTTCAGTAAATCCAACAGTCCAGCAGCAGCGTGTTGGAGACAGTTGCACACGGCCAAACCCCATCTCAGGAAAGTGGAGGTCGTATTTACTTGTATAATTGGCTCCTCAGGCTTAGTCAGGATCTCAGCTGCCAGAAGTCTCTGTCCATGCCTCTGTCTATGCCAAGCGAACACTACCAGGCTCTCACATGGGGTAGGCGATGTGTGGTTGTGGCAGACACAAGCCACGGTGAAGACGCAAAGCAGGCAGAGCCTTCAGCCAGGCACTCCCCTTGCTTGCCAGGCTCCTCTGTGGGTGTACACTTCTACTGATGGACTTTCTTTTCTGAAGAGAAACCTAGAAAAAACAGTAGGAAAATGTTTCAGATTAAAAATTAAAATTCATTTTTCTCCTTCTAGCTTAGGACTAACATAAACTTCTGGCTGGCAATGAAGAACTCCCCACAGGTCTACCCTGGGAAATCAAGAGGTGGGAAATGGAGGCTTCTTATTTTAGGCACTGACATATGCTTACCATTTTGTGAAGACAGTTGTGGCTTAGTTCTAATCATTCCTGAAGAAGAATGTTCTATACTAATTCTCATTCTGAGGCTAACATTCCAGTGGTTTGGGCATTTCCTTATGAAAGTGAGTCATTTCTATTGCTGTTAGATTCAGCTCTTAACCCAGAGAAAGATAATTGTGCCAAATGTATGCAAGGCTGTAGGCTGAAGTATGGCCCTGAGTACATTGTCAAAGCCACCGAGCAGACCGCTGTTCTTAAAATGTGTTAGTGTATCATGAAGACTAATAAGAAAATTGCCACAACTGAACACTACAATCAAGATAAAAATCAAAAAGCTTTACGTGGAACAGGAAAGAAATTACAAAATTTAAAAATGTCAAGAAAGCATTTTCATTACAGCATAAAAATATATCTTTTATATTTGCTGCCTTGCATTTATTAAATCAAAGGTATGCCAAGTCAACATTTTTTAACAACAACAGCAATATCCCCAACAGGAAGACTGTAAGTTACTTGCAACTATTAAAGTAAGAAGACATTTAAGATTGAGTTCTATATCACTGCTCAGTGATATAGAACTTGCCTATCCTGTGCAAGGTCCTGTGCTCGATCCCTGTTACTGACCACACACACACACACACACACACACACACACACACACACACACGAAAAAGAAAAAAAATGAACTCAAAGTTTAATTCACAGATCTATTAATCTGAAATTAAGATTTAACCAATTAATGATACTATTCACAGGTATTTATTTTAAAATAGTTTTAAAAATAACTCTTTTTGTTATTTGTTCTGTGCTCTTGTGAAAGAAGTTAGAATCAAGGTCGTTACTGTCAAGTTTTAGGAGGAAAGAGCACATAAGATAATCAATGGCAGAATGGAAATTTCAAAAAAAAAAAAAGACAAGTCTTGAAGTTTCCCTATGCGTCCTGTCCTAAGGCTGGCCTCCTGGTTATAATGACAAGGGAAACAAAGACCACCAGGGAATCAAAGATGCTCATTGCACTAGAGAGGGTAGCTGGATCCTATGAATTTGATTAGTTTTAAAATACAGTAGGGTCTTTGCAGATGTAATCAGGTTAAAATAAAGTCATGCTGGATTAGAGTGGGCTCTAAAACAACACGAGTGGTGGACCAACAAGAAAAGAAAAATTTACAGACAGACACAAGGGAAGATGGTCATGCAAAGATGAAGGTCAGAACTGGAGCTATCCGGCCACAGCCATGGGTTCCCTGGAGCTTAGAAAGGGTACCAGAGCTTACAAAGGGTAAAAAGGAATTTCCTGTAGAAGTCTTTGGAAGGAACGCAGCCCTGCTAACACTTGAGTTTTAACTTCTCACTTCCAGAGCTATGAAGAATAATTTTCTGCTCTTTCACATCACTTAGTTTCTAGCACTGTGTTATGGCAGTTCTGTGATAAAATGTTAATCAGTATTCGTATATAATTTGTCACTATTAGACATCAGTAAAGACTAGTTCCAATATTTAGGATTTGATCGTCTGTATTATAAAGAACTAATTATTTTTGCTTATAACACGATCTCACATGTCTACTTTTCACAACCTTCCAAACATGTAAGAATTGAGCCCAAGTTCATTAGACAAAGTTCACCTAGGCACCTTTTGAAAACTTTGCAGAAGGTACTGGCCTGAAACTCAGTCAGAAATCATAGTTGTTTTACATTTCAGAGAAGGAAAAGCAAAGGACACATTTTAAAGGCGTACTAACTACTCTGCCATAACCATTCGAGAAACATGGAAATCACTTTACATCCCATTCTGGTGACACTTGAAATGAGATTAAAATGTCCTTTGTGAAATCACATGTTTCTGCACAGGAACAGCAGCTTATTAGCATCTATGCATTTCAATATATTTGAAACGCTATTTGCTGGCAAAATAAAGTGGGGTGGAGAGAAGAGGATGAAATGAATTGAGATGTGTTATATATACATACCAATTCATTACAATGACTGTAATCATTATGCACTGCAAACATATTAACAAAAATTAAAAAGAAAAGTAGAAGATATTTTCAAAAGTCTGTTTCATTCTCTTTACTGAGAAAGTTGAGCAAGTCTCAAATATCTTAAAAACTTTCATTTAAAATGATTTTTATCCTTAGGTTTTAGAAAAAACCCTGAGCCTTTTTCTGAGTTATGTTCTTAGCTTTTTTTTTTTTTTTTTTTTTGAGACAGGATTTTACTGAGTCATAAATTGCCCAGGATAGGCTTGAAATTGGACCCTCCTGCCTTAGCATCCCAGAGTTCTGAGACTACAGGCTTATACCATCATAACAGCTGCTGAAAAAAAATTTTTTTTTTTGAAAAAAGAGTTGATTTTCACTGTTTGTAAGGCATGTTAAAGTAACAACAGATAGCCCCTGTGATCAAAACTGGGAGCGGAGACTGGGAGGCCATGCTGTTTGGTGTACACTACTTCTGGGCTGCAGAGTTCTTCCCTGGGCCCCACCCTTCAGGAGACTGTGCTCCAGCCTCCTCCAGCCACACCCCTCCTCCAGCAGGATGAACATCCTTTCCTCCAGTACAGGCTTCTGGCACCCAACTGGGTTCCCCGCCCACATGGCCCTGGCTCTGTTTTCAGAACTTGCACCGCCTTTCTCAAGGCCTGAGTCTCTGCAGGGGTATCATCTGCATGGTGGTGAAAGGTGTTGGAAGGAAGCTGGGATGTGCTAGCCACACCTACCTCAAGTCAACAGTCCAGAGCCCACACAACGGAAGGAGAGAACCAGGGGATGGGGTCAGGGGCCCAGGCTCAGGTCTCCCTAGGCCACCACATTCTGGCTTTGGAACTGAGTATTCCCAGTTCACTCCAGTATATGTATCAAGACAAGAGGAGAGATTGAGAGTTTCTAAGCTTGGTTCCTAAAATTTACAGGTATCGTGTGAAGCTCTCCATTTATTCTTGTATCATGTCCCAGGAATGTTAGAAGAGGACCTAGTGGTATCATTGAAGTCTGATCACTTATTACTCACTGCACCTTTTAAAATACATGATGCTACTTCTCTCTATACAGTCAGTGACAGAAAATAGAGGTACTATTTCAGATTTAATTATCAGAAGAGAAATAAGGAGATACTAAGACAAAGCTATAATGTGATACATTTATTAGCAGTCCAAAATATAAACTTATGAATAACCAAGAAAGCCAACAAAATAAAACTAGGTGGTTTACAAGCCAGAGATTAATTGATATTCATTTAATTGTTCACATTTCTGACACAACTACCGCATGATCCAAATGGCTCATTTCTAGGGGATAGCGAAAGGAAATGAAATCAATATATAAAACAGATAACTGGCTTTCCATGCTTATCATAGCACTATTCATAATAGTGAAGATACAGAATCAATCTCAGCAATCAACAGATGAATGGACAAAGAAAATATGATCTACTTATATGATGGGATATTATTAAGTCTTAAGAAAAATGAAATCCTGTCATTTGCAGCAAAGTGGATGGTTCTGTATAACATTATATTAAAGTGAAGTGAGACAGACACAAAATTGCAGATACCATAAAACTAAAAAAGTTTATCTCAAAGTAGAAGACAGCAGAATAGTAGTTACTAGAAGCTATGAAGGGAAGGGACATAGAAGAAAGCTGGATAATGAGTATCAAAACACAACAAGACGTCAAAACACAGGAAGGTAAATAACGTTCTACAGCACAGGGGGATGATTATAGTGTGCAGTAAACCTATTATATGTTCTGTGAAAAACTAGAAGCTGAGAGCTCAAGGACTCTGAACAATAATCGGGAGATGGAAATATTAATTACCTTGATTTGACCTAAAATGTGTACTGAATGTGTACTGAAATATCACACTGTACCTTATAAATTTATGTAATTATGTGGTAATTTTTAAAAAGTAAAAATACTCACATTATGAAAAAAGAGTATTTCTTTAATATAAGTAAAATGAATTTTAAAAAAATGAAACATGAATTTTAAGAAATAATTTCTGTTTACAGATAATTAAAATGGGCTCTAATTTTTTCCTTTGTTTGTTTTAATTTTGGTATTTTCAGCCTAAAAATTGGTATGCTGATGAGAAACATATTCTTGAATAATAGATAATTTTTTTGTCATAAAACAATGACTATTATTTCATAATTGTTTGCACAATAAAAATATACACACCTGTGATCTCTTAATAATCATTGCCATAAAATGGATTCTGAGTAATTCAGACAAAAAATACAGATTAAAATTTTTCCAATTAAATGAACCAAAACATGACAAAAATCAGTACTACCATGAAATAATAGCACTTGAATTATTTGTGACAAAGATGATTCCAGTTATTGCCAGTTCTGATGGCCTGGCATGAGCTATGAATTACCAGCAGGTAGACAGAGAGCAGTATAGAGGCGAAAGGAATCCTAAACAGGTAGGTTTCTGAGTAGGGAATTATCTTCTCTGGTGGGATCCCCGCTTATGATGGGTCCTCTTCCTTGGTGCAGATGTGTCACAGTCCCCCACGACACATGGCATGGAGAAATGCAGCTTTCAATCCCAACCCCACCATCAGGGCTGCCCATGCACAGTTCAGGCCAAGAGACACTTATTACACATTTACTGTCCCATAACAATGTGTCTTTTCCCTGTGACATCCTATGCAGGCGAGTAATACAGATAGTATGTGTTGTGATTTCACAAAATAAAATTATTGAGAATTAAATGGTAGTCAGATAATCAACCCTTTTTCATTTTCACATCTACAATTTTTGAAATGTTTAATATAATAAGAGAAACAGATTTTCAAAGGCACTGTAGGTGGTGTTTTAAAGCACAAGGTTTGGGATTCTAAATATTAAAAAATCCAGTCTTAGAGCTAAATTTTGCATGTACCTTCAGTATGCTACTTAAATTTCCCAAGCCTCAGTTTCCTCACATGTAAAATGGTATAAAGTAATCTTATAACATGACTGTGAACTTTAAAATAGTTGTTTTTTGTTACCAGGAATTGAACTTACAACCTCACACTTGCCAACCAGGAGCTGTGCTGCTGAGCTACATTTCCAGCCAAAATAGATACTGTTTTAAAAAACTCATATGTTATATGTGCAGACATTCTTACTCAGTATTCTTATTACAAAATTTATTATATTTCCCTAAGTGGAAAAAAGTCAGTTGGTCTCCTATATTCACTACAGAATTTCATTTTGCACTTTAATTTAATTTCCAAAGCACAATTTATTTCTACTTTATATATGTATTAGATTCTGTACCATCAATTCAGGCAGAATTCACTATTGATACATAAATGGTTGGATGGTATTAGACAATTTTCTAGTAAGTGTTATCACAAAATTGCAAATCAGAAAGAAAATACCTTCTATATTCATTCCATACCAATAGAAAGTTAGGAGTTATAATTAGCTGGCAATTCAATCGTTATATAACAATGGATTTCAAAAACACAGATATTAAATAGTAATCATTCTAGTTAATGATATTCCTTTCTAATAAACATTTTCAATTATAGTTGGAACCCAAGAACATCATTAAAACCACAATTTAAATTTGTAGTACAGTGGAAAGAAAATGGAGAGTATTGTAGTTTCCTGAGAAACACTTGGAAACTTTATTATAGAATTCTCACTTTTTATATTTCTTCTTTAAGAGTCTCTTCTAAACTATGGCCTTTCTCACTGTCACTGCTGCTGTGCATATTACGTGACACCAAGAGGCTCCTTCACTAGACTATGGTGGAGAGAGCCCCAGAGGCTCGAGAGGGTCACCACAGTCTACAGAACTTCACGTGGCAATCCTGGCTGCCCACTTCCATTCCATAGGAGCTCCCTTGCATCCAAAACTAACATGATATGATCTCGGTTCTGAATTGAATGTGACCAGATTTCAAGTGTGGCCCACAGTTAGTTAGAACAGAGTTCATCTGGAGGTTTCTAGGTGTATTCACATCCGTGGAGGTAGGCGTGTGTCATTAGAGACTTTAAACGTAGCGCACATTGCTAACTTGGATACATGTGACAAGAGCAGAAATGGGATTCTGTTTACAGTTTATGCATCCCACTCCTGGGTGGCCTCAAGGGACTGCAGAAAGCAGTAGTGGGAAGTTTGGCAGATCCCAAAAGAAGGAGGAGAATGGTAAACCAAAGAAAAGTAAGATAAAAAACACTCTCAGATGTATTTTATAGGTGACTTTAGTCTTTCGCGGTGTAATTTGACGTGGGTGTTGCGGGCAACTCTGGCCTCAATGAAGAAGAGCTCTGTCTTGGAGTCTGACATGCAGTCATGAGGGAACACATTTCTGAGCCTTTGGTTTCCTCTGTCTGTCTGCCAGTGACATTTAAAACATCTGTCTAGAGAACTCCACCTGGATTAGTGGGTGTGCATCTGTCCTTTGTAGTGGAATCGCAAAGCTTTGTTGTTGTTGTTATAATGCAGTCCTGCTGAAAGTTTTTATTCCTAACCCCAGATGGAATTCTGACTCTGAGACTGGAAAAGGAATAGAAGTGAGAATTGAGATTGATGCCTTTCTCCATTTGAACATTTTCTTTGTCTTAAGGAGTTCGATTTAACCCCAGGTGCATCAAATTAGAGTTGTGGGTGTAACACAAATTTACAGTAAGTCCTCCCCGAGTATGAATGGATGTATGTAAACACCCAAAAGGATCCCATGCAAATGTAAACATGAAAGCATGCTCAAAACAGCTGTGGTCTTACCGTTTGCCTTGTGCTGTACATCTGGCGGAAGCTGGTCAGGAGCACGCCCCTGATAGTCTGGCTGTGTGAAACAATAAAATATTATTACAGCAATATGAACTTCAAACAAAGCATAGTGGCACATTAAAATATAATTATGCTCTGAGGCTTTTATCAAACAGGCAACACAAAAGTAATTTCTACCGAGCCTGTTGCCGACTTACCCCTCATCCCTACCAGCATCTCTCCTTACCCCTCCTCAGTTCATCATATTTGGCTACAATTTCTGTGATTTTGAAGTTGTAGTGGTTTTGTTTTTTGGTTTTTTTTTTTTAAGCAGATATGTTTTGAATTTCTGCAGAAGTATAAACACTTTTGTGATGCCAACTGCAGCCCATAAATAAAACAAAGTATTTTACCATAAACAAATACTGTTTGTAACCCTTACACTGGAGGCAATGAGACCAGGAAAAACAATACAAGCTTATTGTTTCCTAGTGGCTCAAGGACGAAATCTAAGCCATTATGTGAGCATGATGTACAGAGGTTCAGAATGGTGACGCATGACACATTTCTCCCCTTGTACTGTCCTTAGCAAAAATCCTTCTCTAAATTCCTTAAAGGAATTAGAATTTTCTTTTGGAATTTTCCCCAAGTCTACATATATTCAAATAAGAACAGTTAGATACTGAGTATCAGAGAACAAGAACAAAAGAACTGAATAAATAATAATCTCTAGACCTAAATGATCAAGACAGCGCCAAGGCTGCCATCACAGTGCTCAGCCCCTTGGATGAATTTCAGCTTTATCGGCTCCCCAGAATCAGTCTGTCTTGCTGTTCCAAACGCTCTCCCTGCCTCCAACTTCCCCATAAGACACAAAGAATACAGACCTTTGGTCCAATAATTTAATCATCTCCTATAAATAATGCAACCATGAGCCAGTAGGGAGCACTTTTTAAGGCTGCCAGACCGTGACCATAAGTATAAATGTTTGGTTATCTGACAAGACACTGAGAAATGCTGTGTTCAGTGTAGTCTGACCCCACTTCACCCTGACTCAGACACCTAGCGCTTAGCTCCTTAGGGCCCACAAAAGAGCTAGAGGAGGAAATGAGATCACTTCTGTTTTTTATCTTCTCGTTTATTTTAGATGTCTCAAGTAACACATAGGATAAATGACGTGAGCCCACAGTTTTATATTCCAGGAGACTTGCCAAAAGAAGGTAAGTATACTGTGATTTTACCAACAATATTGTGTGTAGCTTAATTCAGGATTAGATACAGGCAAGGAATACAAAATATTCTTTTAAAATTAACCCTGAGGTTTTGTTAGATTGAGATTATGTTCAGTGGGATACAGCTTGAAAATGTAGGCTATCTTACACACTTGGAATCCTTTTGCCAAGATAAAGCTTTATTTGGTGTTAATTTTATGTGATCTGGATTACACTGCCTTTTGTAAGTGAAAGCAAAATTTGGTGAGCCATTCTACATGAATTATTACCTTCTTTCCATTCATAAAGATTTCATAGAAATGCTCTCTCCTAGATAAATCTGAATGACTGCTCAGTTTTATAATCTTTCACAACAATAATTCCTCAAACTTACTCGATCTTTTTTATGTTTGCCCAAATCTTAGCTTACTGTAACATTTTTAAAAAATATTTTTAAAGAAATGATACCTATGTTTGAGGATTCCAGGAAGTTCCTGGTAAAGACTGAAAAGCAAGAAAACAGGTAAAAAAGACAGGAAGTGGGGGAGGGAAAGCAAAAAGAACCAGTGAATGTCAATAGCAAGAAAATGAGCCCTCAGCACATACCAGGGTCAAATAAGAGATGCTCATTAAATCTTGACGTCTTCCACCACCCAAAGAGTCATTATCTGCTCTCTTGGGAATCAGGCTTCATGTCACACTCAGATACACAACACAAGAGTTTCAGGCAACCCAGAGAATAGCACGTTCTTCATAAGTGCACTTTCAACAACTTTGATGAAAAATTTTCAATTTTTGGTATAATTAGAATCACAGGTAATGAAATCTAAGGTATGAGTATTGTTGTTGAGAAAATCAAAATGCAGAAAAATGTGCATCTGTTTTCCTAAATAAAGGTTCTGCTTATGTGAGTGAAATGGGGAACAGAGGCTAGCACCCCATCCTGGGGGATGGGTGAAGGGAAAGCTGCTCTTGAGAAAGAAAGAAGGCCTTGACTGTCCAAATCAATTCCACTCACAGATAATTGCTCAACTGTTCATTTTAGTTTGCCTGGGTAGACACAGTTATGGAGAGCTACTTAAGTGGGTCACTTTATTTCAGATCTTTTAAAAAAGTCCTTTCAAATGGAAAATGTCAAAACTGTTTTGCACACATACAATGATATTCACAGTAGTTCAATCTATATACAACAGAAGAAAGCATTTCATTTGTTTTGCTAATTCCTCTTTGCTTCTCTTTATACATTCAAGTGTCTTTTGGGTAGAGTCAAACATGCCCGTGGAAAATGATCCATCTAAAATGTTGTTAGTTCAAGGAATTACAGCTCCATTTGCTATTGGCTAGTTAATTTCTTCATATCCATGTGCCTGGTGGATTCAGTGCCCCAAGGATAATTACAGTGGCCATGGGCCACTGGAGCTTTTCAAATTGGAGTTGGAGATAAAATAGAGGTTCTTTCTATAGACAACAGCATGTGCCAAAATTCCAGATATACATGTAAGTTCTACCAAAAGAGAAGACCAAGAGCTTGTTGTAGGAACGGGAGCTCTTACTTACTGGGTGCTCTCGTGGGTCCTGTGTAGCCCTGGTGCCTGCTGGTTCCCATGGATCCGGGAGGTGGAAAAGTGAGCCGCAGGTACAGGCTGGGCGGTACATCTGGGGAGAACAATGCTGTCAGTTCAGTGGACGCGGCTGAAATTAGGGAGTCACACTGACATTTGCCTTACACAATAAAGTTTGGTTTAAGTCATCAAGTTTTGCCTAATATGTCATAATTCCAACTCAAAATAGTAAAAAAAAAAGTCAATATAGACTGGAGACTGATACAGTGAGGAGTACAGGCTAAATCCTACCTCAGATGACAGTACAGTTAATTCTTCATTTTGAAGAAATTAGAAACAGTTGAAAAATACATACAGTTAATTGGGTTTCTTTTGAGTCATATTCACACAAGGTCCTCATTAAATACAAACCATCCATTGGACCATAAAGTAAGTTTTATTAAACTCTAACCAGAGACATAATTAAAGTCTAAGTAAGAATCTATGAGCTAAGATAAATAATATTTATTTTTAAAGTTACTAAAGAACTAGTGAGATGGAACAATTCAGAGCCTCAGAAGAGATTTTATTTTCTAAAAAGACAAAAGTCTGTGATGTAGTTTTCCCAGAAAGTTGTGTAAGCAGCTGTAAGAAGTACCAAAGAAATGTATTTCCCAGGTGTGGGTGTGTTTCTGAAGAAATTTTCATTTGAGTAAACACACACCAAGGCTAGATCCATTGGTAACACACTCTCCACAGCATGTGTTTTTCATGAAAAGCTTTGGTGGCTCTTAAGCACAATCCATCCATTCATATTTTAGTGGATAATGAAAAGCATGGGCTGTCCTAGGCCATCTGTAGCAGAGCTTGAGCATGTTTTAATCGGGACCATGAAACATACTGTACTTGGGGAAAATGTGGGGATGAGATTTAAAATTTCCATTTTAACCATGACACTCGAGCATAGGTAAGGATAACATACCTGCTTTAGTTGCCTTTCTAGTTTTTCTTTCTCCATTTGACAAGCTTTTATCTACAGGGGGAGAAACATTTGTTTATCAGGAAGAGTTCAAGTCTTTGGGTTCAAGACCAGTCTTGCACCTGCTGTCCCTGACCTACTCAGAAGCCCAAGAGAAGAGGGAGTGATGACAGCTGACATCATATTTCCCCCTCAAGATATGCTTTGACTCTATCTTAACACTGTCAAGTGAAATTTACAAAGCTCAGTAGTTTTAAATTGTTATTCCAATCTATTGAATCCACGATAATTCTTAGCTTTGAGTTGTCTATTTTGAGTCACGTATAGAAGTGCCTTCTCTGGATCACTGAGAGAAATTAGAATTGGGCAGCCTGGCATTCAAAGGATGCTTCCATAAGGTTTAGAGGGTATATACGCACTTAGCACAGCTCACGCACTGATCTATATGCTGCATGTATGTTAAGTTCTTGTAGCTCCCCAATGCCCTCATGTGATACTTTACATTATCACCTCACTGGAAATATGAGGGACTGAATAAGTTCTTCAAAATCGCACTGCTCTGTTTTCTGTCTTTTCACTATTTAAGGCCCAATTTTAGCAGAGTCACCTGGATGGAGTTCTTTCCACATCTGATGCTCCCAGAGAAAAAGAAAGTGGTTTTGCTTTGACGCCTTAGTAATATCATTGCCATCCCTATACTCCACATTGTATATTCCTATAAGGAAGGCATACCCTTTATAAGGCATGTCCTTCCTTTGTATGGAAGGACACATGCCCCATGTCTTGCAAGATAATTCCTAAGTCTTGCACATTGGAACTACTCGCTCTTCCCTTCATCCTCTCGTTTAGCCTTGTATGTTTACTATGTGACTTTTTAGCACAGTGTACACTACGTATAATCAATACTTGATATTTGTAGCAAATATGATCTATAAAGTCATCAAAAATTGAACTAGTGCTCCCAGGAGAAATTCAAGGTTAGGTTCCTGTAACCTCTGGTTACAACATTTTGTTGCAACTAATCGATTAATATACAACCTTGTTTTATGTGTATTATTGCTTAAAAGCATGTTAGTTAATATATATGCATATATATATATATATATATATATATATAGTTGACTATCAGTGAACTCATAGTCAATAGACATATAACTCATGCCTGTGCAAAGTTTACACCCTTGTTTTCTCTGTAATGGCACATCAGTGTCCTCTTACATTTAGGGACCCTGGGCAGTACTTTAGCACTAGGTGTGAGGCCAGTTTAAACAGTGAAGTCACCGAAAACAAACAAAAAAATGTAGAAAAACATAGTACTAAAAAAGACTGCAAAAAGGCACTATACAGTATACCCACTGAAATAAAAAGTTCGGGGGAGGGGAGTCGAGGCAAAAGAGGGGGTAAAGGGATCGAAATGATCAAGATACGTTATATGTGTGTATCATTTCCCCAAACAAATATCATTACTCTGTATTGCAAGCACACAGCAATTAAACAACATAAGAAGGCAGAGCTCTGCGTGGTTGACTTCAGCTGAGAATATATGTCATGTGTGTCAAGTTTGTTAATCCACAGTTTGTGTTTGTGAATACACTGTGAAAATACACATATCAATTTGAGGAGCAGATAAGTTCACAAATACAGAATTTGAAAATGATGAAGACAAGCTGTGTGTCTTTCAGGACATTACGAGCCTTTTAACTGTAAGGACCGTTTTTTTATTTCCTTACAACACATGGCAGAGTACTTTGCAGAATGAAAAGATCAAAGTTAGATTGCAAGAAACTGAAAGTAGCACACAAATTTTACAGTTAAATGAAACTGTTAAACATGACTGCTTTGATAGAACATGATTATGAAATGTTTTTGAGCCATGAGTTGGGCTGGGTGTTTTTATGGAGGTTCAGACCCCTTACAGAGAAGACGTGAGGTGGTTACCTTTATTCATGATTCATAGGTGAGCATCTGTGCAAGGGTTAGGTAATTTGCTTAGATTTTAATGAACATTCTAGATGTCACTGAGCCTTGTTTCATTTTACGGATGAGGAAAGGGAAGCATAACATCCAATGAATGGCTCAAGATCACCACTAGCTGAGTGTCAAAGGAGCCAGGATTACAGGAACTTTCTCCTAGACTTTTCCTCCTTTTAAGCACCTGTTAGTATCTTTCACTCCACTACCCTGCTTACTGGTATTGATGTAAAATATCCTAAGTGATAAAATGAATATACTCTGGGATGAAACTAGTGCCAGAGTAATTTGACATAAAAATTCCTTTAACACTTCAGTTGAACATTAATAATATACTACTCAGCTAAGACAATGTCAGTTATTTTTATTGTACCATGACATTTAATCTGTTGTTATACATGTGATGTAAATCATTAAGTCAATGCACTATGTCTTTTGGGGAATTTTACTATTTTTTTCTCCTGAAGTGAATGATTTTTGAAAAAAATATTGGGCTATTTTTATTTTAAAGAATAATTTATTTATTGTTTCTGAACCTGTAACTGAACTCAGGACCTCACAGTTGCCAGGCAGGCACTGTAACACTAAGCTTATCCCCAGCCCTAAAGAAAAGTTTTGATAGTTTAATATATTACTTAAATCTAAAGGTTGGTCCTTCACTTATAAGCACAATTTTGCCATCCCATACTTAAACAGTGTTTTTATTTTCTTGATGTTAATAGAAAATTACTTTACAGATCAAAATTATCTATGGGTCATAACGCAAAATGTTAAATAGATAGATATATGATCCTGAGTGTTCTAGAAGTTCTCTAAAGAAAAGACAATAACCAATCTTGGATACAAATATACCATCAATTTGAACTTAATACAGTTATATGAATAAAACTAAAATACGGATGAAGGAAAGTTATTATTTGTGCACTGGCAACTTAAAACAAATTAAGGCTACTTTGCATGTAAGAAATAAAAATTGACGGAGTAATTTCTTCAAGAATAATCAAAACATTTTCTCACCCATGTTTGATAAATTATTTATTAATTTGCATAAATTATTCTCAGAAAACTAATTCTACTTGTATTTTTCTAATTTTCATTCTTTTATTTTGTTTCTCTTAATTTCTTAAAAAGGAAATGGTTCTGGCCAATAGTTTTCAATATAAAATTAAGAATTTCAAGCTAATCCTTGAAAAACAATGAGGGAAAGAATTAAATTTAATTTGTATATATTTTTATGAGGAAGAAGAGATGAGTAATAGTTTAAACATTTGTTTGAAGACTAAAAATCTTCAAGCTAAAGAGCTACTGTAGTGTGTCTCACACAATATTCCTTTTTATTAAAAAGCACTGCATGACTTTGCAAAGCAAAAATGTTGTGGTTTATTTCATTTCCTCCAGTAAAAATTATGTTAGCTACATTTTCCTTCATTAGCATCAGTATTTACCCACCATGGCAACTTCCTGAGTCTACTTTTAATATATTCTATTACACTCAATTTTAGTTTGCTTATATTTAATAGATTCTATTCCAATAAACTGGCTTCCTTGAAACTGCTCTAATTATGCTAAATCTGAGTTAGCAAAATCCTAAAGTTTCACCGGTCAAATACACAGCATTTAGAAAAATGTATGCTTTTTAAAGATAGGAACATTCCAACACAATCTTTAAAGAAAATGACAAGAATTTAGAAACCACTTCATTATATTTGAGTAGTAAGTAGAATAATATTCTACCAAGATAAATATTATTTTTAAAAAGATCACAAGAACTGTATTTTATAAAAGACTTAGGAATCCAATTTCCTCAGCAATTCCTTAATGCACTTAAGTTAAAAGCAATTCCCAATCATTTTCATTTCTTTACAAGATTGCGGAAGAATGATTTCATACCAGGTGCTGCCCTCTTAAAAACATTGAATGTCAATTAAAAGAAATAAAAAAAAACTTCAATATTTTAAAATAAGAAAGTAAAAATAAAACACACATGTGTTGGCAGATTACTTTGTTTTGACTTATACCTGAAAACTCAGCCTGTTCAACTGGGATTGAGAAGTTTGATTAATTTGCTGTAGCTCTTCTTTCTCCTGATTAAGTCTTTCTCGATCTGAGCGCTCCTTTTTGAAGTCTTCTTCATATATTTGCACCTAAAATATATTAACTTGCTGTTACTGTTAGCTTACTTTTTTCTTTGGACATTTAAATGATTTCAGAAAATGTATTATCTGGGTCTTTCCAACGGGAGGCATTCCGACCTTTTTCATGACTATTTCTTTATGGTAGGATGGAAAGCACACATGATTACCATTTTATCTTTCACTTTCAGAGTGAAAGTCCTTTAATTTTTCCTCCTTGAGCATGCATCCAGAATTCAGAAGTGAACAAACAACATGTTTATGTTTTTTTTTAAAAAATTCCCCCCATCCACTCTCCCGCTGCATGGTCTATTTGGGACTCACACCTGCCTAATGTTAGGTGTTTCTGCTTTGGAGCACCAGGCTCTGATGCTGGCAGCTCTCCAAGATGGAGCCACTTAAATGTAGACATGGTGAAGTTTCTACATATAAATTTTGAGTTAAGTGAAGTTAAAAAATAAAAGGCATGTGCAAAACCAAAGCATGATTGTTGAAAGGCATTCAAGAGTTTTATCTTATGTGAGTATTTCGGGAGGTATTTTACCAGAACACATGATAAACAGTATTCCAAATATTCCAAAAAAGTGACCAAACTTAAAAATAAGTTATTGTTGTTGAGTGATGACTTGGAAACTAGCATATGAAACTATGAAAATGAATGAAACTTAGAAAATTAAGCAAAAGATTTTCTTGAAGACCATGACTTAGAGTACTACTTATACTGAAACTTCACAGGGATTGAACTCAGAGTTTTGGTCACCTTAGGCAAGTGCGCAGCCACTGAGCATCAATCCCAACCCTTCAGAGCAGGATTGCTGGAACACTAATTCATTGTATTTTTGTTATTATGATATTATTGTTGTACTAGAATTGAACTCAGGGGGCACTTCACCATTGAGTTATATTGTCAGCCCTTTTTATTTTGGTGACGGAGTCTTACTAAATTTACCACACCAGCCTTGAACTTGCAATCCTTCTGCCTCAGCCTCCCACATATCTGGGATTTACAGGTGTCTGCCATACTACCCAGCTCACTTTTATCAGGAGCAGCTCAAGAAATTTTAACTAGAGATGTAACCACTTAGGTCAATAACAGAACAAAATGCAAAGGCAAGAGAAAAAAATTAAGTAATACAGCTCTTGATAGACACAAATGCTTTTTTGGATAGAAACACTACAACAAAGCTACTTGCTGCCAGCTGGCATTTTTATTTTATTCTTTAGTTTAGAGCTGAGGTTCAATTTCAGACACACACTAATGCCCTGTCAATGATTTTCAATGACATTTTTGGTGGGAGAAGCCAATCTGATCAGAATTGAACCCTGTGGCTGAGAATGTGTCATCACTGCATTCAGGCAGGGGCCAAGATTCTAACTCAGTTTCTTTGTGAATTCAAAGCCTCCAGTGTTGCACGTGGGACTTGATGCAATAACTATAGGTGCCTGATTAGAAACACGTGCAGTTAAATTGCAGAAAGTTAGCAATAGAGCGATCCCACAACCAAGGAGAGATGAAGTTTGGTCAACTCTTGGGTGATCATGGAAGAAAGAACACATGCCACTCTATATCACACTTGAGCTAAAGCATGAATGTACCTCCATGCATCAGAGCAGCTGTACCACATGGGTATAACTATGTGAGCTGTTGATTCAAGTGTCTGAATGTAAACAGCACCCCTACTCTCCCAAAGAATCCTGGCTAGCACTAACAGTACTTTAGGAGTTGAGAATTTGATAGAGCTTCAGTAATCTGGGTATTACCCTTATTTTCTTCATGGATTATTAGATTGTATGCATAGAAGTACATTATTTAAATGTGTTTGCTAAAAGAGAAAACTCAACTTTACCACCAAGTGCTATGAATTGTTTAGCTCTGTTTATATATAGGCTACTTCTTATGAACTGATTACAATAAAATAAGTTAACAATAACACAACTGCTCAATTAGTCTGTGTATTGCAACAAGAATACTGTTACTGATATTTCTCAGGCAAAACTTGTCAACTAATCACATTGAAAAGATCAGAGAAATAATACTTTCCATCCCTTTACTATATGACACTGTGTCATCCACGACTAATACAGTGGTGTCAATTTGTACTTCAGGGGTTGTGATTCCTTTATGTAGCTTATATTTGTTGATATCACCCTGGGCTGCTCTAAATATTTTACTTAATTGGTTTATTTAGTCTCCCAGAGGAAAAGAAATGCATGGCTGATCACCCAGGAAGACAAACTCCAGCTAGCTGAACTAAATGTAATATAAATAGTTGGGGCAGTGCTATATCCTTGCAGTTTTATGTTGATCAGTGCAGAAACTGTAGATAGCACATGCGAGTGCTTGCTGTCCACTTGACAGTAAAGAGTGGGTCTGGTGAACAGGGAGGAGGGAGCTGCTGTTCATCAACACTTTGTTGGTGGTACCATCCATGTGTGTGGGTAGCTCAGCACATCTGGCTCTTCAGTGATTATAATCATTGCAAAATACTTTCTTTAAAACTGCACTTATTGTTCAAGCCAGCTGCTTGGAGACGACTGTCCTGCTGTTGTTATTTTCAGAAAAGAGTTTGGGTGAGCAGTGTTTTCAAAACAAATCATGCCTCCGTGAATTTCTGTAGTCGCAGGACCAACAGCATCTCACCCAAAGGTTAGGTCGGTTGTTCCTTATTTAACTGTGTGATCTTGGACAAGCCATTTAACCCATCTGAAATGCAAGTTCTTTTATAAACAATGGGAGGGCACTAGCTGGTCTCTATTCTTCCTATCAAGCTTTAAAATTAGATAATTCTAATTAAAAGCAATGTGAAAACCTGTGACATGTTTTGAACAATAGGACACCCAAACATGTCCAAAGAAGCATGAACAATGTGCCCAGTGCCCTCCCCACAGGCACGCCACTTCCAGCTTCTCACCTGCTGTTTGAGGACTTCCATTTCCGTTATCATCTCCGCATGGCTGCACTGGACTTTAGATTTCCCAGAACAGTCCTCGGGAAATGAAGAACTCTCAAGCTTCAAGACATCCTGAAGGGCCTATGTGATAAGATGAGCACACTGTTGATCTGAGACCTGCCACACTCTGTGGACTCCTCTGTGATGGCTACACTTGTCTCTAGCACACCGACGAGGTAGCATTTCATTTGCAGTGTTGCTTATGTGACCCAATAGTTTTCTTCTGATTTTATGCACATGTATATTTTCAGGATTTCTATCTTTTCTCCAAGGTGATGAGTATTTATTCATCCTTCATTATCATAATGGGGGAATTAATGTTGGGCTCCCCTCTAGCTGGCTAATTAAAGAAAGAAAACTTACATATATGCCTTTTTGCAGATTCTCTGCTTCAATGAGGTACATATTCTATCAGTGATGCTCAAACTATGGGGAGGATCAAAAGGATCATAAATTCCCATTCCTGAGCAATGAACCCAGAGACTGAGTCAGTAAACCTAAGAACTGGTATTTTGCAAAAGCTGATGTTGTTGATCCTGAGTGATGTTTTGAGTATTGTTCTGCTGTGTAATCATACCATGCCCCTAACATGAAAGGGAAATTCACAGCGACATGACTTCACACATATGCACTCTCTTTCCCCTGTTGTGCCACTCACTTGCTGTCCTCCTTCAGGATAACATGTCCTGGCCCGGCCACAGTTGTATTTATTCCCTATTAAAACATCTAGTAACACACCACAAGGTGGGGTGACATGTACTAAAACCTGGTGTTGTTACTGTGGAGTGAGGAAGTAAAGAAATTCAGAGATAAATATATTCGCCAACAAGATCATCATCCTTACTCATTAACTGTTTATGTTCTTAGCCTATACTTAAATCTTATAAAAGATATTGCTTCCATTTTAAAGACCTAGAGAGCCTGGAATGGTGGCCCATGCCTGTAATTCCAGCACTTTGGGAGGCTAAGGCAGGAGAATCACAAGTTCAAAATCAATCTGGGCAACTTAGCAACTTACTGAGACCCTGTCTCAAAATAAAAATTAAGAAGTAGCTCAGAGTGAAGGCCCTGGGTTCAATCCCAAGTACTAAAGAAAGGAAACCTTTAGTTCTGATGACTCAATAAAAATGACTTTACATACTGTAATAGAACATTTCTCATCCTCCTGTGGCTTTAGAGACACAATATAATGACTTGTTCATTAAGCAAACGAACCCTTCACACAAGTGAAAAAGGTTCATTCTCAGAGTCCTGAGAAGAATTTACTTCCTCTGTGACTATTTCTTTAGTATTTCAGTGGTGCTCATCCGATCACATCAGTGATAGCTCATTCCCTTGCATTACTCTACACCACGGTCATAAAAGCCAGAAAGGAAAAGCATATCTGTGAGTAGGTGTTGTTAGACTGGGAATTTCCTAATAGAATGTCTTAGAATCCACAGATATTGTCCAGCCAGACTTAAGTATCATTTTTAGGAAGTTGTATGAGAAATAAGAACTTTCTTCTTCCTCCAGTAAGAATTTAGAAAAAGGACAAAATTACTTTAATAATTTATGTCTCATCTATTTCTGAGTGTGTGCATGCACTTGTGTGTGTGTGTGTTTATGTTTGTGCATACGTGTGTGTGTGTGTGTGTGTGTGTGTGTGTCACAGGGATCAAACCCAGGTCTGCAGTATATGAAGCAGGAGTTCTACCTGAAGTACATCACCAGCCTTGTTGGAATTTATTTAAAGCTACATATATCTAGGAAATATCAGAATAATGAATTAAAGCAACTATATGAGTAGTAGTAGAGAGAATCTAGGATCAGGTGAGCCATCTGGATGGTGCTGACTTATCTGTCAGCCGATGTCTTACACTCATGACGAGACCTTTTTTGGTAGATCTTGTTACTTGAATGTTTCGATTGTTTCATATGATTCAGCATTTCAGAAATTTTCATATGAGTCATATGAAATGTGAGTCTAGTGCACACGTGTTCCATCTTTGGGTTTTTAGACTTCCTCAAGAAGACCTTTCTAATTCACTTTAGAATAAGTTATTTGCCATCAGTGCTGACATACTGAACCCATTCACCCATCTTGCAATGTTCAGACTATGGGTGGCCCCTGAGAGAAGAGCCTTAAAGAATATTAACATTGGTTAAAGAGTTGTCTCCTCTGTAGATACTTAATAAAAACAGAACCTGCGGGTATTGTCTTCAAAGCAAATACTGCATTGAGTGCCCATTATTTTGTAAACTTCTGAAAAACATATGTTAGTTACGAAGTTGTTATCAATTTCTGCTGGGTGAAGGGCTCAGCAGGCAGCCAAACTGTGCAAGCAGGAAAGTCTCCAGGCTCCATGCTGTTAGGGCTGGTGGGCACAATCAGTTGCCTATGCAAAATTTTCAATAACTTCTATTTATCATCACCATAAAAAAGAAAATATCTGTCATAAAGCAGAAGAATAGTGACACTTTGTACCTTATTGAGCCTAATACAATGTGCTATGGAGAAAGGAAAATCTTTTTACACACCTTCCTTGTCACTTTACAGTTAGGTTTTTTTTAGTGACAGTTTAAGATGTAGACAGGTAGGATAAATCTTTCTAGATTTCAGCACTCTTTTATTTTTTTTTTCCAGATTACTAATATATAAAGTATTATGTATTATCTTAATATAGGCTGGTTAAATGATCAATCTCGGGTGCAAAGTTGGCTATGGAACATATTATGTACTAACTAATTAAGTTCATTACTTTGTGTCTTCATCATTTGAACTGACTCAACAAAAACTTAAGAACTTACAGTGAGAAAGGCCTACTTCTCAGGGCACGACAGTGAATGAACCAGAACAACTCAAGGCCATATTGTGTTAGCACTGTGAGCTCCCTTCTCCATAAAAACATACATTATATTTTGCAACTGCATAGCTATAAAGATGAATATATAATATATGAAAACCTGTTTACAAGTGAAAGACACACTTTGTTTTTCTGATTTTAAGTGAACCAACACCTACTCATAGTAAAAAATACATTGAAGGCCTCGAACACTATGTCTAGGGCAGTAGGAGAAATTTCTACTATGCAAAAATTCTGTCTTCAGAGAACTTACAGACAATCTGGGAGGCAGGAAACAGATATGATAATGCGTATGAGACACAAATATATGTTAGGTAATAAAAGATTCCAAGAAAAATTAAACTAGGATACAGGAGAAGTAGAAAAGTAAAGACTTCTTTGAGAAAGTGACACTTGTATAAAAACATAAATTATACTTAATTTTTGAGATTTTATGATTAAAACCATCAGAATTATAAAATTACTGTTTTTCTCATTTTTAAAAATTCTGTTAACTCTACACAGAGATGCAACAAAAATGATGCACGTACAGGAACATGAGCAATAAAGCCATTTTTGCCTGTTCTAAACCTATAGTTTTATATCCTGGTGCCTACATTTAGGGAAATGAGCTAAAGAATATCAGAAAATTTGATATGGTATAAAAATGGGAGGGCTTTAAAATACAACTCCAATTACTCTTGGTTTTTTTAACTTCTCTGTGGAGAACATTCCAACAAAGGGAAAAATACATTTGCCCTGTAATTTTATGTCTGAATATTTTCTTTCGCTCTTAAAAGCTCAGATACAGTGTTGATGCAGTCAGTATGCACTTTCCCGTGTTCTCTTGCATGACTTGTGCCCCAGGCAGATCTAATCCAGCGGTACATTCCTAAAGCATCTTGTCAACTAACAAGCACGTCCTGGGCGCTGTGAGGCTCCTTAAATGATGCTTCTGAACACTAATTTACTACAACCCAGAGAAATCAGTCCAAAATCAAAAACTGAACATATTTGAAAGGTCAGACGTCTACTTCTGCTGCTATGGGAGATAATTTTTGTTAGTTTGACCGCAAAATCTCTAGTTACAGATGTGTTTCTCAACACAACCACCTGTGACAACACGTTCCACACATGGCTTGGCTCTAAGAAAAACAAGTCAACAGAAAAGAAGTCCCTAAAACACCCTTCTACACACACGTGTGCATGTGCATGCACACATACACACACACACATCATCATCATCATCATCATCATCTTTTTGTAGTGATTCCTTCCTTGAAGAATTAAGTTGGAGCCAAAATATTAAACCATTCCACATCTCAAAAGCTTGACTTTTCCTCCTGCCACTGTCATGACAGGAGGGTTTTGAGTTTACTGTGACAGCCTGAGTTTGGTATTAAGTGTGCTTTATATATTGGGTATCACAATTGTCCCTGGGTGACTGCTTTAAAGAACAATTTGGTTCCTTAAGAAGATTTCACAATTGGCTAAGACGTTTGTTATTGTACAGACACCCACTTGTTTTATCAGGCTCTTCAAACCACAGAAAAAGAAATGCCCTTACCATCTTCTATAATTTCTCTTCCTTTCTGCTTTTTGTGATGAACTCTTGCAGGAATATGAATTCTCTGAAGCCTCCTTGGCCAAGTATGGCTGGAAGCTGAACCCTGCCTGGTAGTTACAGAGACCATCCTGAGCTGGAAGTTACTTTCTGTGCTCACTGTGAGGACGGCGCCACACACAGCTTAGAGTTTGTTGAGTCTCAGGGAAAACACGCTGGTCTACAGAAGCTTTCGCTCTGGGCTCCCATGCTTGACCCGGCCCGGTACCTTATTAAGGCGTTTTATTTCACATTCGTAATGTTCCCTCTTCTTATTGGCAAGAGCGTTTTTTTCCTTCAAAAGCTTGTTCTCTTTCTTCAACTCCTGTATTTCTTCATTTAGGTTCGCCTGTTCCTTCTGAAGTAGAAAGCAAGAAGACAAGATGAAAATCAGTAAAAGTCAAAGGAGATGATACTGTGGGAATCCTTCTATATCAGATGCTGGGGCCCATGGAGGGGTCACCCTTCTGACATACAGGACAGATGAGCCCTGCCAGATTTTTTCTTAATATTCATTTGAGCAATATTCTTTGCAGCAAGAACAGAGTTAGGACTGAAGATATCTATTCCTGTGTAAAACCTTGGTACTATCTCTCAGAAGTCTGGGGACCCCAGAAAAAGATAAAATCTCCAATCCTCTTTGTCAGTGGTCCAAATAGATGGATTTGCCAAGTAATTGTTGGTTGATAATATATTTTTGCTAGATGATAAGTATGTGATTGAGTAAAAAATGTTGAACATCTTAAAATGCAAAATTTATTATTGCAACAGAATAATACTAAATATTTCAAAATCCACTCTGTACTAGTCAAAGGGAAAAAATTTTAGATAAGCAAGACCCTTCACTAAAGATAATTACTCAGAACACAGGATTACTATGATTATTATTTTTAAAACAAAAGATCAGCTCGTTCAATTGCTCATACATCTGTGTTTTAGATCATCAGGAAGTCTAATGTTTTAAATAATTGAGAGTTAGTTTGTTTAGACACTGACAGGTTCTGGACTTAGACATTTATATATCACTTATGTCTTAATTTTAAATTGTAGACAGTAAAATTTTGAGGGAGTAAACTGGATGAGAATATGGTAAATAAATATTACAGAATACAGGTAACTCAAGATGAGAAAAGAATATATATATATATATATATATATATATATATATATAATATGTGTGTGTTAAAGTAATGAAATATTTTATTCACTAGTATTTCTCCAAGCAATCTAGTTTAGGGAATCATTTTCTTTCAAAGCAGAAAGTTTTCTATTTTCTCTTATTTAAATAAAATGAGCTTACACACTTGAAAAATGAACCAATCATTTTCTTACTTAGCATAATTTAAGAGAAAATTATTTCAACAGGAAAATGAGTCAAACTGCAGGGAGGAAAAATTACTAAGATTCCTCATCAGGATGTAATTGGAACAGGAAGCGACTGCCACAGAGCAGAAAGGGAACTAACTGTTGAGCCCCTTTTTCCTGACTCACTATGACAGAATCATCGTCAGCCAGGTAGGCAAACCTGGCCTGGCGCTGACTGCTGATTTCAGACATGGCCTTAGGATTGGTGTATGTTTTAGAGTACTGACAGTGCCTCACAACAGTAGTGATAAAACTTCACCTGAGACTATTCACACTGTCTTTACTGTGCCTGAAACAAAAAAACAAACAAACAAACAAAACCCCAGACTTTTAGAGTTTAATCTTTACTTCTAATTTTCTACTATAGCCATGAAGTCCATCACTGAAAGTAAAATCAGGAAAAAAGAAAAAAAGCAGAATCCATTTTAGAAGATACTCAGAAGTATCTTTTTTTTTTTTTTTTTTTTTTTTTTTGGCATCTCACTTGTCACCATCTAGCTCTAAGCAGGAACTGTGAAAGCCTTAGAATTTCAAGGCGGGCCCAGGCTCCATCCTCAGAGCACGAATTGATGAACATTGCCAAGCCTTGCAGGCGTCTTTAAACCTTCGCTTTCTCATTTGCCCCCATTAGAACTAAGGAGCGAACCCAGAGAGCTCTTATTTGATATAATATTGAGACAGGGTCTCATGAAATTGTCCAGACTGGCCTTGAATTTGTGATCCTCCTCCCTCAGCCTCCTGAGCAGCTGGGATTACGGGACTGTGCTGTTTAGCATGGTGGCTTTTTTGCCTTTACATGACAAACTTGTCTTTCTCAAAAATGGGCTGACACAGTTAAATGACATAAAGATGGTTACATATGTCCCAAAATGCTCCCCCCCCTCTCTCTCTCTGTGTGTGTGTGTGTCTCTCTCTCTCTCTCTCTCTTTCTTTCCTTCTTTCTTTTGATACCACAAAACAGACTCTGGACCTTGAGCTTGCCAGACAGGTGCTTATGCCACTGAGCTATATCCTCACACTTAAAGTGTTTTATTTTTATGAGTTTAAAAGTAGCACCTGCCAGGCACAGCACTGCTTATCTGTAAACCCAGTTACTCAGGAGGCTGAGGCAAAAAGACCAAGAGCTCGGGGGCCACCCTAAGTAATTTGGGAGACCTTAACTTAATGTAAAAACAAAAATAAAAAAGACCAAAGTAAAAATGGCTTGGATGCGATATAGATCAGAGACAAAGTGCCAAAGATCAGCAGTGCAGAAAAAGGAAGTAATCCCTGTTTGTGAGATTCCATAAGCCAGAAAGCCACTGTAGAGTTGCACTCCTGTCATTAACACTAGGCATCAAAGCAACACACGTGAATAGGAACTTTTTTCCTGCTAGACTGAGAGGCCTTGGGCGTCGTCGTCTAATCCAGGGACTACTTCCCTTACGGGTAGGAGGGCAAACTGTGGCTGTTGTGCAAGGCACGAGGAAGCCAGCATCCCTTGCACCAGTTCCCGAGAAGCGGCCCTTGATGGTGCTTAGAGACTTGCGTAACCCACACACCCTCACACCCTCGCACTGGGCTCCTACTCAGCAGTGACTGATTTTCACAAAACGGTAGGGTTTCAGCGGGAAACCGCCCCCCGCTTTCACTCAGATGCTTTTGACGAGGCCTCCACCCACCTCCAGCCGAGGATCCCGGGTCAGGTCTGCAGGCCTGGCATCCACCCTCTGACCCTGTGGCCGCTCCCGCTGCAGTCGCTCTCTCTCCAGGGTGCCCCGGACTCTTTCTGCGGCGACTAGTTTCGTTTTCAGTTCTGTGACCTGAGGGAGTGGGTCACAGACAGCTGCAGACACCAGTTCTGAAGCCCTCCCTCCCCCAGGAATTTGTTCCCAGACTTTGCACTTAGGAACAGATATGTCCTTCTCCAAGACATCCCCTGAGAAGTTCCACGTCCCAGAGCTTGTAACACAGATCAGAGGACTTAGATTTTCAAAAGCTTAGTCAATGGCGAAGAGCATATGCCTTACATAGAGGCAGCCTCTGGATCTGCGGCCACTCCTGCTTAGGAGACAGTGAAAACCTAGACCCAGACTGGTGGCCTCTGCTGTGTCACCTGCTCTCAGCCCTCAGGAGAGGCCTGGGCTGACCAGAGAAGCCAGTAGGTTAGGACGCAGGGCAAACAGTCTGCACCAGGGAAAGCAGACACTGCCTTGAACCTCTCAGGAACCTGCAGGGCTTGACTTCCTACTGGACGGCAAATCACACAAGGCAAGGTTACCCATTGTCAGCGTTTGTTTTCACACTCCTGCCTGCAAGCAGCTCAGGAAAGCAGTTTGAATCTTTGTCTTTAAAATCTGGACTCCCAAAACACTCCTGAATAGACACTGCAAGGCACCCTGATTTATGGCCTGGTGCAGTGGGAACATTACTTTGCACCTTCTAAATTTAATACTTCTGAGTATCAAAATGGGGAACAGTGTTGTTGGATTACTCACTTGTGGTCAAGTTTCTTAATGCTGAATTATTTAGGGGAATTTACTTTCTCTCTTTGAAGACAGAATACTTTTAAATTACAAATTGACTTTTGTCTATCCGAGATTTTCTCCACGGTGTTCCTTTCTATCAAGCCAAAGCTTCTTGATCCTACTTGTGCTTTTGGGTGTGGGGTAGGTTCTCTTTCACTTTCACTGTTAGTACTGTTTGTTTCTTTATGGAAAAAATGTTGCAATTTAATTAAAGGATTGCAAGCCTCTAAGGCTTGGTTGTGCAATGCAAGGTGGTGCATGCCTGTAATCTCAGCATTTGGGAGGCTGAAGCAGGAGGATTCCTTTGAGTTCAAGGCCAGCCTGAACTACATAGCAAGACTCTGTGTCTTGGCCTTTTATAACAACATGAATTTCTAACAGTCCCTTACCTCAGCTATGTAACACAACTTGTGTATTTCTGGCAATTAGTAACAAAAGGTAGGTCAGGAGACTCTACACGAGGTAGAATAAATGTGCATAAGAACTCTTAAATCATCACCAGAGGTTATTTTTTTAGCATATTTCTTTAGCAACGCTCAAGACAAATTCAGACACTGCCCTCATTTTTCAACAGCTGGGAATCCACAAGTCTCTTTTAGCTGAAATCAATGAGGATTTTCACACACTTGGTCCCAACAGGATTACAAAAACCCCAAACAGAAGTTTTTACCTTTCTTTCATATAACTCTTTCATATTTCTAAATTGCTGATCCCATTGCTGGTTAACTTCCAGGAGCTGAAATTAGTAACATTTAGTAAATTAATAAAATATTTCTTCTCATTTGGAAATGTAGGCAACATGCAGTTACTTTTTCAGGTAAGCTGAGGTTTTGGAAATCATAGGAGGACACAGTGTTCCCTCCAGTATGTTCTAGTTGGACTTGAATGATTTAATTAGACATTTTCTCACCTTTTTATAATTCTTTCTCATATGAAAAGCTACTATGAATTAGGTATTTCTTGACAAATCAGCTGAATAGGTTCATCAACCATTTTAGCTTCTCTTATTTCAATTCCCATCATCTTTTTTAATGTAACTAGAATCTGTAAAAACTGTAATCATGGGTAGTTTTTTTGTAAGGTGTATTAATAAATTGCTAGCAGCATATGAAATGTCTTTTCTCAAATACTTATATATTTTTCTATGGGCTTATACAGATGATTATAATGAATTGTCTAGCTTCAAAAGAAATTCATATCAAAGTCTATTAACTGGTAATCATTTGTTCACAGTAATGTGCTTCAAAAGATTAACACATCATCTATGATATGTACTCTGAACGGATATCACAGTTTTGAAAGTGTAGATTTTCAAGGAATAATATTTTTACTACAAGGCAACATTTAGTGCCAATGCTTTAAGGATTTAAAAACTGTCTTCTAAGTAGAAACAACAACACTGTGACTGGTTTTAGTTGTTTTGCTTTTGTAATTCCCTATATTAAGAGAAAGTATGACACTTATTAATATGGGACAGACACCAAGAATACAATCACAATGATCAAAACTTGCAAAACTGTCTCTTAATTACAAAACAAATACCTTATCCAGAAAGGCAGTTACAGACCAGGTAACTCTTATGGTGGAAATAGATGGGGTTTTTAAACATACAGTTATGTAATATTATTGAACAAAGATATCTGATCTGTTGGCATTTTGAGGATTAACATTCTTTTGCGATAGTAACGTTACACTGCTACTGTCTGTCCAGTAGTTTTCCAGGAGAGCGTGATATTCTATGCAGTGTTAAACAGGAGTAGAAAGTACCATAAGAGAGAACACAAAAGATGAAATACACAGAATAGACGAGACAAGGAATTGCAAAATCGCTGACATATGGAAGGTTAAAACTGTTATACTTTTCACTTTATCCTCTGTCAATAAGAGTAAAGCAATTCTAATATTCATTAAACACAGAAAATAAAAACAGTATAATTAACAATATTTGTTAGTTCTCGACAACATTTTAGAATTAAATGTATCTTTAGGACAACATTCTTTATTCCTGTGTATCAGGATGCTCTTATTCATGGTGTCATTCCGTCTAAGTCAATGGTACTTAAAGCCTTTGACAGTTGGAGTTTGAAGGTAAGTCATTTTTCAAGGTTTATTGAAGGATTCAAGTGATAAACTAGCATAATCCTGTGAGAGAACCATTTAACTTTTGGGAAAGTTGAGATTATAATCGTCAAATTTATGATTTTGTCAGTTTTTATTTAGCATTTCACAAATACTGATAAAAACATCTCCTTTTAAGCTAATGCATCCCAGTATCCTAGAGATTTTATTACTTAATAACAAAATAAAAGATACTACAAAATATTCTATTTTTAAAATTATTAACATAATTAATCATTATTTCTAAATTACCTCTTTTCTCTGTTTTTCTAGGCACCTTATTTTATATTCAAGAGGACTTGTCAAGTTTTTCCTTCTTGATGATTGAGCACGCTTGAAAAAAAATTGAGACAAAATAATATGCAAAATAAACAAGAGAAATATTGACTTTCACAAATGCCATAGCTTTAAGCTAATTCTTACAATATGTCAAAAATATCTGACTCTGGGGTTGGAAATGTGCAGCTCACTGATAGAATGTGTTTGATATTCAAGAGACTCTGAGTTTCATCCCCAGTAACAAACACACACACACACACACACACACACACACACACACACACACACACAATCTGATTTTACAAGCAACAATCCTCATACTGTAGGGCCTTCATCATGACTTGTTGATGTATCAGCTTCATATTATATTTATAGAATTTAGTTACCAAAGTAACTCTCCAATGCATTACAATGTGTCTGTGTGATAAACCACAAATTATAATTTCATGAATTCTAATTTCAATCTTTTTCAACATAAGAAAAGACAGTGACTTATAGAAATCCGATGTTTCTGGGGACATCTCAAATGCAGCAAATTGATCACACAATGTATAACCATGACTGAGGTCATTAATAGAAACAATGCTCATGGCACAAATATAGAAATGGTCATAGATTATCTGGTACTATGTAATTTTAACGAGTTTTTTGAATTAAGCCACTAGAGTAAAAAGTTTAGAATAATAATAAATTATTGGCATAATGAAAAAATTTTTCTTTCCAGTTACATTTTCTAATGAGAATATTTCTAATGAGATTATTTATTTAAAGAAGGGAACAAAATCTCTGGAAGCTGACTGCCACCTGGTTAAACTGATCACCAGCTACACTCACACAAAGATCTGTTTCCTCAGGCCAGGGATTTAGCTCAGTGATGAAAGCACCTACCTGGTAAGTGTGAGGTCCTAAGTTCAAAATCCTGGTATCCCCCCGCCAAAAAAATCCATTTCCTCTACTGAGGAGCAATCATTTTGCTATCTCATCTCCAAGTTACTTAAATAATACAGTAAACTGAGCTATGAGGGTAGTCCCTAAATCTGTATTCAGATTTAGGCTTCATAGTTACTGTGGACCATCCAGTGGCTTAAAAGCATTTATAAGTAAGAAATATATCTGAGTATGTTGGTCTTTGCCAGCAATGTTTTGAGGAAACAGTTTTGTAATCATTGGGAGATTTTAAAAAACTTTTTCATTAGAAATAACTTATGAAAGGGTATGTTTCTATCTTGGTCTATTTATGTATGTCTCGGGTGTTTGTTTGTTTGAGATAGGATCTCACCATGTAGTTCAGGCTGGCATTGAACTCACTATGGAGCCCAAGCCGGCCGTGAACTTGTGGCAATCATCCCACCTCGACCGAGTGCTGGGGTTACAGCATGTGTCACCAGGCCCAGCTTGTCTCAAGTATTTTAGAGTTTGATATTTTATACCTGCAAAGATGTTGTTCTTCACTTTATTACTTTCTATTTATTCACTTGTCATAACTAAGACACTATCTTAAGTGGCAGCTACTGTAGGTCCATGGAGTCAGAATGATTACACTTGCTGTTAACCTCGGGACTGGTTCGCCTGAACCTCAGGAGTGACATGAAAGCCCAGGTGAAAAGTATGTTCAGTTTTGAAAGTGAACTTTTCTCCTTTTGGGGAGGTTTTTAAGAAATTGGACTCATTCTGGGTTAGGCTTTACTAAACATTAAGCATTTTTGAACTGAAAAAATGCTGTGAGCCAACCCTACTTAGAGTGTCCTGAGCTTATCACAGCCGAATTGCACTGAGACTGGATTTTAGGTCAGTAATGGTCACCTCGAGAGCATATCAAAGTCACTGCTGTGTTCACCAAACACTGAATGCAGTCCCTACATTTGAGATCAAAATTTCAGGAGAGGGAGCCAGGGCATCTCTATTCTAAAAAACTCTCTTCTCAGATAATCAAAATTTTTACTTAAGTTCAATATCCTAATGTAGAAATGTGAGGATAGAAATGTTTAGAAAATGTTAGGTTTGGGTCCTCAAAAGTCATCCTTTCTATCTGTGATATAAATAAAAATATGTAGCAGCAAATATTTGTGTGCTCTTGCCTTCTGGAAATCTTTTTTTATTGTAAAGAGAAAAAAATAAATAAAACAATAAGAGTTTCTAAACAGGTTAGTAGAAGAGTTACCAGCAGTAAGACAGTATTTGTGGTGTTTGTTGTGATTTGCCCTCATAAATAATTTGCCCTAAAAAAATTGTAAAATGCTTTCACCCTTAATTTTGATTTAAAAATGAAAAATTCTTCAAAAGCTAGGTGCTAAATCTTCAACAGAACTGAACTGTAATTTCAGGAGTACTAATTGCTGAAACTGAGATGAAGAAAGCAGAAAGGATCAAAAATAATGAATATGAACAATTACTTAATACAAATTAGTCAGCATTTTAACAATGGTTTATATTCCTCTGGTACAGCAAAGTCAATCAAATACCAACGCTTTGGGGGAATATTTGTACTTGATTTGCTTTTTAGTTGTTAATAAAGTTACCTTATTTACAGTCAATACAAAGATTTTTAGTCATTGGGTTCTAGTAAAGGGCCTGTGTTCAAAACAGTTACTCCCTATGAGTGACTTCCTATAATGATGTTGTATGAAATATAATCTATTTTCAGTGTATCTGGCAATTTCTGTACTCTAACAACATCTCATATATTCAAGTTCTGGAACAATACAATTAATTTTCTAAATTTTAAGTGAATTCAGTTTCTCATTTTACTTTGAGGAATCACTTTTTTAAAAACCAGGATGCATTGTAAATAATTACTTAATTCAAATAGTATTCTTAGTAACTGAACAAAAGCCCTAATATCAACTGTAAATATATACTTTATTATAAACACTACCACTAAATGCTCATTTATAACCTCACAATATAGTATTCTCTTTAGCTTTTTATACTGAACAACGTTGTTCAAAATTAAGAGCAAATATGGAGCACACTGAATTGGCAAGCTGCGAGGAGTTCAAACAGATTTAATCCTATCATTCTGTAGCAAAAAGAAGATACAGTCCAGTGGATTTAAAGGAACTGCAGTAGTCATCCATATACCTTTTCTATATCTAATAACATTACTTGAAAATTTAGAGATGTTCTCCAGCAAACTAGTTATTTCTATTCTTATGTATCCTTGCACAATTAACTAATGGAAACTTATCAGTGTGAGATGCACCAATTCATCCCCAGAAGTGTGTTTCTTACCTCTGCATGCTCCGTAGAACTTACAGCAACATTTGTTCCAATTGTGCCTTCTTCCAAATGTGCCATGGAAGCTTTTTCTCTGCAAGTCTTGGGAAGCAAAAAGCAAAAGGAGGAAAAAAATCTCTTATGGTATCTTTTACAGTGAGACTGATCCTATAAAATTTGAAACTCGCAGTCCACCATTAACTCGTGTTAGAACATAGCAATGGTGATTTTTCATTGAAAACGAGCAGAGTTGACTCTATGGGAATTACACAGAATAAACTTATAAGCACAGAAACTCTGATTTTAACTTTTCTCTTCCAAGCAGGGATTTCCCAGAATGTCTCAAGTAGGAAGGCTGTGACTAAGACCTGGGGCAGATTAGCCTTGCTATGGTATGTAAATTGTCATTCTTCCTTTACTGGCAGTTTTTCCCACTGGAGGAGGAAGTTACCACCACAGAAAGCCTGGGCAAACCAAGTCTTCCTCAGTCGCCTAACTACTACAAATGCATTGTATTTCCCACAGCAATTAGGTAACTGGTGATTTTTTGACAACTTGAATTCTTGTTTCCCTGAAGGCATGATTTTCTGGCACTGTTTTCTAAATATGAGGTTAGCTGTGGAGAACTTAATGAGTCATGCGTATTCTTCTAGTGTTATTTATTCTTATGGAATTACAAGACAAAATGATTCATTATCCCCCCAAATGGGAATTATTTGAAAACCTAAGTTTCTATAATGACTGAAAATTTAAACTTGATTCTGAAAAGTAGGACTGTCTATTCCATAGGTCTTCTAGATTTTCACCAAGACATTTGAAATTAAAACATTTTTCCCCTCTAACATTTCAGTTTTAATAGTGGGCTCCTGTTATTTTATAGGTTTTTGGGCAGCACAGCATTAGATAAATCAACCAAATGAAAGCTTGGAAGTGACAGCTAACTTGGTAAGGCACCAAATAAAAGCTTCAAAAAGACACTTAACTTGGAGCAACACAAATATACCATCATTTGTGGACTTGGGGTGTGAGAGCAAAAGAAAAGTCAAGGAATAGAAAATAGAAATAGGAATAGAAAATAGAAATTGAAATAGAAAATAATGTGTTGCTAAAAGGAAAAAAAAGTCATAGCAAATCACTTAACTTGAAGCTTGCATTAGACTTACCTATGACATCTCCACATGTACATAAATTCTAAGGCTTCTGAAGTGCAAGCCCATTTAATGGAAGTGAATGGGTGTCTCTTTCTTTTCTTTAATCTCTCATCATTCTTCCTCTGTTCTTACCATACTGAGTTCCTCCAAGTCCTGAAATAAGTCCTGCTGGCTTCACATGTGTGATGCTGAATGCATCCTGTTTTAACCAGTGACCAGCAAAACCTAGCAACTGCCTGTCCTGCCCTCTAACCTTACCTTGACCTCCTCTATCCAGCCAGGAAGAGCACTTTGGCAAGCATCACAGTTGTTTATGAATGTATTTATCTCTATATGTAAAATATCCCGGCACAGAACCAGTGTTTGACATATTTTCCTGAATGAATGCATTGATAATTATTTATGTAACTATTATACAACAAGTTCATGGACTTTTTGTGAGTTTCGTGTATTTACTCCCTGATATTTTCTTGTTCTTTTTTGAAAATATACGTGTGGGTGAAAAGGAGAGATATTGCCTTAAGGCAATACTCCAAAAGACAGGTGAAAATGAAATTGTTCATTCAGAGTTCTAAAAGTAAAAGTGATACCTAAAACATGCTCTGTTTGGAGGACAGCAGTAGAGATTTCTTGGAGAAATTTTCTGACAATTTGTCAACAGTAAAATATTTTCATTAGAGAAAAACTATTGTAAAAGTTTTCTTGTACACACACATATACCCCCCACCACCACCGCACCACAGCCCGCACACGGAGTAGTGATAATGTTAAGTAGTTCAAAGTTCTTCTCAGCTTTATGTTTGTATTTGATTATAAAAAGCTAGTGGATGTGATAACATGGACCTAGACAAGTAAATTGAAAGAATTTCCTTGCATTGTCTGCTGGGTCTCTGTCAAGGTTAGGGTTAGCATACTTATTGTTAGGTGTGATGGCTTTTATTAAGTGGAAATCCTGTGCCTGTGCATTTCTCACCACAATTCTTTCCCCTCTTATGCTATGCAGATTAACAACAAACACATTTTTTATTAGCTGAAGAAAGCCATATGATTACTTACAAATGAACAACTCTTTTTTTGAGAGAAATGGCACACTTACTCGCTCAGCCTAAGGACTACCCTAGAGGTCTTCTGTTACCCTTGTCTCGTTTGCCTGGCCTCTGCCTTCTCACAGGTGTTACATATTTCCAGAGTCTGCCTTTTAGTAAAGCTTTGGATCAAGAGAAACCTCATAAAAAGCTAACAACTTTCAGAGAAACACAGGTGTCACTCCAAGTTTTCCAGGCTGTTTTGAAGATTTTTTTCATAACTAAATATTTTGCAGAAGAAAAATTTTACCAAACAAATGTGATAAGGAAAAGAACAAGGAACTACCAATCATTGGTTTGTAACTACCATCTGAGTTGGAAGTAATTTTTATGAGAATTAATCTACAGAAAGGCCATCAGCATGGGTTTATCATGGAGGTATTCTTTGGCAGATAAAAGAGATAAGTATGTTTTAAAAATTCTTTTTAGGATATTGTTTGGAAAATCTTTTCCCCCCGAATCTATGTGTAGGCAGAGGATCAAGCTGTGACAAAAAAAAATCTGGCCCTGGAGTTAAACAATCTGTATCCACATCTCAGCTCTATTATTCATAATGTGGCTTTAGCCAAGATGTTGGAGGAGTCTAAAGTTTAATTTATACATTTATACAATGGATTCACGATAGTATCTTCCTCCTAGAGTGGGTTGCTGTTTGCAATAATACATGGTAAGACTACTAACAAATTTGGAACTTAAAATAGGATCACTAATCAAATTACATGGCAAAAGGGTAGGACTATTCATAATGTAAGTATCGGTCACCATGAACATCATAAGAGTGAATTCTAAGGAAAAGTAGGAAATATTCCTGCTTACAATCAAATTTATACACATAATCTCCTATTTTTGGATAGCAGAACCAGTGTAGTCAAAATGGTCATATTTCCAAAATTACTACACAGATTTGATATAATCTTAATCAAAATATCAGTGAAATTCATTACAGAATGAGAGAAAACAATATTAAAATTCATATGGAACCAGAAGAGACCCGGAAAAGCAAAAGCTATCTTGAGTAACAAGAACAAAGCAGGAGGTATCACAGCTCTGGACTTAAAGATATATTACAAAGCTACCATGATAAAAACTGCATGGTGCTGACACAAAATCACATATGAGGGTTAATGGAACAGAATAGAAGATGTAGAAACAACTCCAACTGCATCCAACCCTTTGATCTTTGACAAAATACCAGAAACATACACAGGAGGAAAGATAGTCTCTTTAATAAACAACATTGGAAAAGAATCTACATGCAAAAACATTGAACGTAGACTCATATCTTTCACCAAGTACTGAACTAAAATCAGGATAGATCAAAGAACTGACAGTTAAAACAAAAACACTTAACCTGCTAGAAGACAAAGCAGGTAAAACCCTTCAAGGCATAGGCATAAGCAAGGACTTTCTGAACAGAACCCGAGTTGCACAGGAATTAGTATAGAGAAACAACAAATGAGACCATGTCAAACTAAACACTTCTACATAGCAAAAGAAATAACCAAAAGAGTGAAAAGAAGACCAGCAAAAAGTTTACCAGCTGTTCCTGGGACAAAGGACTAATATGTAGAATACATGAAGAACTCAAAAATGTTAGAAACCTCAAAATAAAAGACCCAATTAAAAGCTAGACAAGTGAGGTAGGTAGGACCTTCACAGATGAAGTTCAGATGGCCAAAAAGGTACATGAAGAAATCCTCAACATCAGTGGCCATTGAGGAAATGCAAATTCAATCAACACAGATTCCATTTTATCCCAGAAAGAATGGACATAATAAAAAAGTTAAATAATAACAAATGCTAGAAGGGCCATGGAGGAAAATGAAACCTCCTACATCATTGGTAAGAATATAAACTAGTACAATCATTATGAAAAATCAGCATACAGATTTCTCAAAAATCTAAACTTAGAAACTTCACTCTTCGTGGTTATTTTTGGACTGCAAAGTAAACTTCAGACCTAGTGCTTGCTAGGTAGACACTGTATCACTGAGCTATATCCCTGGTCCAACCCAGGTCTTGGGTTAAATATATGTTATTAGTGATATATGCATACACATGTTTAAAGTAGCACAATGCATAACACCTAATCCTGGAAGAAACTATATGTTCATCAACAGATGAGTGGATAAAGAAAATAAATTTATACACAATGGAGTACTATTCTGCCATGAAGAAAAGTAAACTGGAGTCATTTGTAGGACAGTGGATGAACCTTGAGACCATAATATTTAATGAAATAAAAATGAGGACATGAGCTTCGATATTGCATGCAAAATCCAAAATATATATAAAGAGGCAAATAAAAGATAGATGATAGGAAGTAGGAGAGAAATTTTTCTCACATGTGAAGTGGATCAAGACATGAGCAGAGACAGGAGGGAAGGAGCAGAAGGAAGGAACAGGAATGAAAAAGAGGAACCGAGACATTACATACAGATGCCAATTCCAAACACAGAGCCTGAACACTGGATACTGCAAATATGACTAAATTTCTAAACAAAAGAAATGCATACAGATTCATACATTTATATAACTATACACACATATAACATATAAATGTGTACATGCATGTACACACCCAAATGCATAATTGTGCACACTCATGTGTATATGTCTACATATATGAAAATCTGGACAGCAAATGAAAACCAGAAAATAATTGATCAAGATAGAAAAAAAAGAGCACTCATTCTTGAGCTTTAATAATCATGGAAGAAGTTGGAGTTTCTACCAGACTTCGAAGGGTAGACAGACTTTTAATGGATGATGAAAGCTGAGATGTCACATTACAGAGGGGCAAATTAATAAAACAGACCAGCAATGGAAATGAAGGGTCCAACAAGTCAGTTATCTAGAGTTCATGTGGAGTCCCGGGGTTAATTTCAGTGAAAGGATAAAAGCTTTAAACTTCAGAGTATAATTTTGACTTTATAGCACCTTCCTGAGGAAGACCTTTGAGCACACGAATGACACGATAAAATGGCTTTTTAGTACAAACAAGCCTGAAGCTGCACATTATGTATTAAATAGGTGAGGCTGGCAATATTAGTTAATAGAGTCTAGAAAAAGGGTTACTGAATTATTCAACGCAGTACGGCAGT